GAGAAATTATTATTTCTATAAAGTCATGGCTATGAATAAGGCATAAGTATCCTAATTTTAGATTTAGCAAGTTTTATCATTTTATATTAACTTAGTGTCCAACATTCTTTAAAAAATTTCATTTGTGCTATCTAAATTCTTTTGGGAAGAAAATTTAGCATCTAGGTACTGGGGGCAGGATTAAATAAATAAAAATAAATGTATTATAATTATCCATATATGCAATGGGGCATGACTGAAGTCTGATTTTCCTAGTTTGCATAAGGGCTTTCTGTGAGATCTGGATGAATGGAAACTTTTACTTTCAAAACAGTGTTTATAGTGGGAAGAGATCAACCAAAGAACTTGTGTGCATGTATGCATAACCCATGAACACAGACAATAGGGTGGTGAAGGAAGGCCTAGGGTAGGGGCGTAGGAGCGGCTTGGAGAGGTCAGCGGGGGAAAGGGGACATGTGTAATACTTTCAACAATAAGGATTTACAAAACAAAAACAGTGTTTACCGATCAGTTCAACAATTTCTTTGACCAATTTAAAGAAATCCTTTCTCTGAAGCCAGACTTTGCATGGGGTATCTGACTGGTCTGCACCTACGCTGGTCAGCTGGCCACAGTGCACTGCAAACAGAATCGTCTGTGAACCAGTTAGCGTGGCTTCCTTCCAGGCTCAGGCCCCTTTACCTTGAGGAGGTCTTGGGTTACTGGGGAGACTGGGTGTAGAGTCCGTCACTAGAGAATATTCTCAGTTGATGAAAGATCATTTCCTCTTTCCTCTGTAACCAAATAACAGTGGTTTTAAATTCACTGATGATATATTTGCTCAAGGTTTGGGACTATTGGTTGAATCTCATGAGGGCCATAGATGGTGGTAAGAACAGAATTTTAGCTCTAGCCTGTAAATTAAAAAACAAACTTCTGACTTTTGTTTTCAAAGAAAGTATGGATAGAATTAGTATAAAATCTTAATATGTAGTATACAGCACTGATTACACAAACTATAATAATAAAAGCATAATATGCTAATTAGACCAGACAGCCAAACCAACTTCCGGACGTCCTTCTGGACAACCTTCCAGATGAAGCTGGGGCTGCGAGGGCCAAACCGCTTGTGCGAATTTCATGCATTGGGCCTCTAGTCTATAATAATAAAAGCCTAATATGCTAATTAAACTGGACAGCCAAACAACTTGTACGAAGCCGCAGTGGTGGAGGCTGAGGCAAAGGAGGTTGGGGCAAAGAGGCCGGCAGGCGAGCAGTTAGGGGCGATTAGGCAGGTAGGCAGGCAGAGTAGTTAGGGGCGATCAGGCAAGCAGGCAATTGGTTAGGGGTGATCAGGCAGGCAGGCGGGGTGGTTAGGGGC